ATGTCAGGTTACGCACTTGGCTGCGTATCTGTCTTTGATATTCTGCTTGTCCATTTTCTCTCTTTTCTTACCCACGGTATCTCTTTCTTTAATCTCTCTCTCTCTCCTTTTTTATTTCCTCTCTCTCTCTCCTCTTTCTTTCTTTATTTTCTCTCTCTCTCTCTCCTCTTTCTTTCTTTATTTCTTCTTTTCTTTTTCTCTCTCTCTCTCTTTCTTTTTCTTTCTTTATTTCTCTCTCTCTCTCCTCTTTCTTTCATTTCTTTTTCTTTTTCTTTCTTTATTTCCTCTCTCTCTCCTCTTTCTTTCTTTATCCTTCTCTCTCTCCTCTTTCTTTCTTTATTTCTCTCTCTCTCTTTCTTTCTTTCTTTTTCCTCTCTCTCTCTCCTCTTTCTTTCTTTATTTCCTCTCTCTCTCCTCTTTCTTTCTTTATTTCCTCTCTCTCTCCTCTTTCTTTCTTTATTTCCTCTCTCTCTCCTCTTTCTTTCTTTATTTCCTCTCTCTCTCCTCTTTCTTTGTTTTCCTCTTTCATTATTTTCTACCTCTCCTCTTTTTTCCTCTCTCTTGTTTCTTCTTTCTTCCCCCTCTCTCCTTTTCGTTTCCCCCCTCTTATCTTTGTTTCACCATCACTCTCCTCTTTCTTTCTTTCATCTCTGTCTACTCTTTCTTGTCCTCTCTCTTTTTTCTTTCCCCTCACTGTCCTCTTTCTTACACTCTCTCTTTCCTCTCTCATATAGGTGTAATATATATAACTAACACAACGTGTTCGTGTGTATATGTAGTACAACTACATTAATAATCTGCCATTATAATAGCTGGTGCACCAAAAACGATCTGTACAGCAACATGACTAACCTTTACTCGTATTTCATTCATCTTATTTCTGGTGTTTTTTATCGCAACTCTCAGATCGTTATTCTCCGATCTTTAAGTAAGCGACATGAATCATACTTATTATAAAACCCAGGTTGTGTGTGTGTGTGTGTGTGTGTGTCTGTGTGTTTATATATTGGATTGGATTTCCTACATTTTTCAACCGATTTCAACAAAACTTCACAGGACTACGTAAAATTACCTTGTGGTGGTTCTGACAGCGCCAAAATTTGGACAAACACAATTGTTTTTGCACGAAATCAATTTGAAAACACGATTAAGACGCATCGCAAGAATTAAAGGGGGACAATTCATATCGAGTTATACTTATAAAACCCAGATTGTGTGTGTGTGTGTGTTCGTTTATATATGGGATCGGTTTTCCAACATTTTTCAACCGATTTCAACAAAACTTCACTTTTTTTCTTTAGGCATGTACTGTTTCTTATTGTCTTGCACAGTTTTTTTCTTTATTTTTAAATTCAGAATGCTTTAAAAAATCCGTTTACAAGACAATTGTTTATAATAAAATTCTATTCAATCGGTAGACTCATAATGATTGAAAACAATGTTTTTGTTTGAATTTGGGTTTGACCAATTCAAAAAAACAACAACTAAAAGAAACTAATTAAGACATGCGTGTCCGTCAACCTTAAACAATAATCTTTGTCAATTTAATTTTTCAGTCTTTATGATGGTCGATACTTGATCTATCGCTTACTGTTACATCCCCGGGCAACGCCGGGCTCTACTGCTAGTGGCAAATAAAGAATAAACCTCTAATCCCCGCTTTTTACATAACAGCCGAAGAATAATGATGAAAATGCAAACATGCAGCATGAGAATTGTAATAGCGATTGATGAAAAAAGGAATACAGTTTATATGGCTTATTTGAGGGACACTTCTTAGTAAAAGTCTTTGTAGTCAAACCAGGACTACACCCGGCAGCAATCAGCAAATTGCAGGGTTTCGCGAGTGCAGAACCACCTCGTAATTGCTGTTGTTCCCAGGTCCACCCTGACCCGAGGTACTGGCACCTGTTAACAGTGGCGTAGCTAAGTGGGGGTGGGGACAATGTTACCCCTCCAAAAAAAATTTTTCAACCAGGCTAAGGTGCCAAAAATAGTCTGAAAACAGTGGTGGAGACACACGGTTTCGCAGGCGGGTATATGACTCCCCAGAAATAATTTATGCCCCCCCCCCCAGTTTTGTCCCACCGTCAGAAATTTTCTAATAAATTGTCGGGAAATTTGTGAATAGGAAAAATAGCAATGTTTTCAGCTTTTGATTTGAACTGATTATTTTGTGGTGTTGGATTTTGTCTTGGATCATACATGTAAACAGTAACGTACCGGTTAGTAGAGTAAAGTAGAGGTAGAGTATGTATGAAAATTTAGCTACAGCTAACCATTCAGCATAGGGTGAATCGGGGTCATTGGGGTGACATTTGAGCGGACCGCCCCGGGTGACGTTTACTCTAGCTACGCCACTGCCTGTTAAGGCCCCAGCTATGGGCAAATAGTGAATCCCTAAATACTATGTCAGTATAAACACATCTTTATATTAAAAATGCATGCAGAATTACCAACAATAAAGTTTATAGCAAAATGACCAACAATATATTTTATCTGTAGTTGAAGCCATAAAACTATGCTCAAAATATTTACATTTCATCATTAAATAACCTATAGAGGTTGATATACAGCTAAGCAAAAATAAAAAAAAAATGTCCAACCAGTAACGGCGCTGTCATAGCAAAACAGGCATTTTATTTTCGATCCTCAGTGCTTATTTAACGATCTGAGATTTACGATACCCAGCAACAGGAAGACGTTAAAAAAATAATACTAATCATGAAGCTACGTATCCTATTAATGCATACAACAGCTGATACAAATGGCACATTATAGGATAAACTTAAGATAACATTCTCCTGTCATGATATTTGCTCTAAATATATACTGAGTAAGGTGATACCGATAACTGGCCTGTAAGCCATGCAACCAGAGTCCACGATTGTGGGCGGATATATAGAGAGCAACATTACCACTAAATAACAATTTCTTTTTAATCAATTCACCCCAAGCAAGGTGATTATGCCACTAAGACACAAGAGGTTACTGGGAGGGAAAAAAAATGAAAACCTTTTAAAGGAACCGAAAACCCAATCCTAAACAGAAAGCAAAGGATAAACTTCTACTCCTGTTCAAAAGAGCGGAGAGGAATGCAAACATTTTTTTTAGAAAATAAATTTATCGCCTTTATATGGATTAATATTTTACTGAACCTGTCGTTTTTAAAAGGGAAGATAATGATAAACTACGAATGAAGAAGAAAATTGAAACAGAAAAAGAAGCTGACTTGTAACATTTCATACATCCAAAACCAAGTTAGTAACGTTTCGACATCACTGAGCAGACCTTGAGTTCTTTGCAGTCATGGTGAACGGTTGTACTCTCAATGAGGCCCCTTGCCTGAAACGTCTGTTGGAGTTCAAGCTCAATACAAACGTCAAGTGGAGCTGGAATCCATCGCTAAAAATGCTTGTAAAATGGCCGGTTCCTTGTATCATTTCAGAAAGTACCGGCCATGCTTTATTTTTACAAGAGCCAGATTAGACAAAAATGGAGTGTTGCTGCTATATCTAGGCTGGGGCTACCAATCTCGACAGAGTTCAAAAATGTTTGTGGGTGATGAATTATTTCCCACCAGGCAGATTTTTCCCCCAACAGACAAACCGTTACTTAACCCCTCGCTACTCTTTCATATTTTTCATGGCAAATGCTCAGACGAGATACATTCCTTGCGTCCACCAATCCAAACTTTCACAGCTAGGACTCGACTTGCCACCCACACAACATCGACTCATCCTTATTGTTGTGGATCCCGCGTGAAAAATAGGTATCCAATAAATGACAAACGCAAGTATTTAAGCTATGAAATACACAAAATACAAAAGGTAATGCTGTTAGTAAAATCCAGGAACACGGTTAGTAGCAAATACAGATAGATATATACAGTATAAAGTAGGACTTCCTTAGAGTCTATATGCTTGTAACTGATTTCTACAAGAGGTTACTTCACTCTATGACACTGTAGACGACTCGGTACGACTCTTAAATACGACTCGGTACGACTCATCTTCTCTGCCTTACTGTGGCTATTTTATGGCAGCAAGACGAGTCCATTATATCCGAAAAGGGTGGACCCCATAACACTTATTCCCTTCGTTATTCCTCTGGTAAGGAAGAATTTCTAACTCTGACAACTTCTTCCCTAGCTACTTAAAAAAAAAAAAAACTCCTGAAAGGATGCTTCCCCGATTATTAGAATCTTAACCTCTTCAAGTCTAGCATCGACCTTATCTATTTTATATATGCTTATAATATGCACCTTTTGACTCTCTCCTTGTACGCCTTACAATAAGCTCCTCTTTGAGTGTCTCTTGAGCTTTGTAGTGAGTGAAAAATACTATAAAAACGGCAGACAATGTTAAGCTACGAACGAAGAAGAAAAATCAAAACAGAAAAAGAAAATGACTTGTAACATTTAATATGTCCAAAACCAAGTTAGTAACATTTAATCATCACCGAGCAGGCCATGAGTTTTTTGGGTTTTTTTTCCAGTCATGGTGAACGGTCAATGTGGCTCCTTCCTTGGAACTTCAATTTGTACTCACTACAGACCTTAGGACGAAAAATAAAAATAAAAAAACAAAACAAAAGGGTGAATATTTAAACGAACGAGGTGACGTTTTAATAAAAACATACAACCAGAGACGTTTCAGCTGAAAATCTTGCAGGACTCAAGAAGGAGTGTTTTTAATATAAGAAAGCCCCAATTAAGGGAATTACATTTACCTCTCGAGATTTATAAAGAAAGAATAAATTGTTTAATTATTTAACAAAGAAGACAATAAAATCGAAAATTGAAAGAATAATTCGAATATTCGATTGTTTTTAATCCGTTATAACACACACATGAGAGCAGATCTCTCCTCTGACCTAGCTCTGACAGCTCGATGGAGTAAAAACTGGCTGGTCACATTTAATACCTCGAAAACCAGTGACATTCCATCATCGCTGGTCGAACCCGTCACTTTAACCAACCGCAATGAACAGATGTCCCTTCAGGGAGTCCCCATGACTTGAGCGGCTATTTCGATTTAAGCTCAGCCCAGTCCTTAAATGGAAACTCATATAAACGGCCCATCGCTAAAAATAGTTGGTTTTTAACCCCCTCTGCCATGGTTTATCTTTGCAAAAATCAGTTCAGAAAAAAACAAAAAAACAATGGAGTATTGATGCGACATCTGAACTACAAAAGCATTTACGCGGCCTTGTGGGTGATGAATTGCTTTCCATCCTACAACTCCTACCTCACAGACGAAACGTTCCTAGCCATTTAATATTTTTAATTTCGCGCATGCGCTTTTTTTATTTTGTCGACTGCACGGTACAGTAGTGTCAGTTGAGCACCGTGTGTCAGAAAAAGAGCACCATGACGCAATTCCATTCTGCCAGAAACTTGGAAACGGCAGTATATATATATATATATATATATATATATATATATAGATATATATTGTATTTAGGAGAAACCATAGAAAACCATAGAACTGAATATATATATATATATATATATATATATCCCATCTTGGTTGTGCTGAATAAGTTTCAGCACCTATTTCGTGTGTGTGTGTATATATATATATATATATATATATATATAATATATATTAAATATTAAAATATTTTAAATATAAATTTCATAAAAATTAACATCATTTACTCACTTTCGTTTATTAGACATTAAATAACGTTACTTAGCGTCTTCCATAATTTTATTAGACTTTTCAATCAACCTGATGAATATTTATGAA